TATTAGCTGGACATAGGCAAATTAAAAGGAGATATCACTACACATCTATCTGATCAACTGAAATAAAAAATAGTGATTATATTAAATGCCAACAATGATTCCAGTTAGAAACTGATTAGAGTGTTCAGGTGATGACAGACTGAACTCTTTTATAAAGTTTTCCATCAGTCTTTCTTCTCATATTTCACCTACTGATGTTCTTTGCCTGTATCTGCTACTTCATTCAAATTTGTAAAATGGCGACTTTTCTACATTTATTTCTGGGTTTCTTTTACATTTATTAATTATATTTCTTGCAAAAAAAAAAGAACTTTGCCTAATCAAACTAGAGCTTTTGCTTGTTTTTAAACAGTTTGTACCAAAAAAACCCAGAATAAAATGCTGAGTTTTTCTTTCTTTTAATTGCTAATTGTCAGAGTAAGGAGTTGATGTTATATTTACTTTAAATGGCATCCAGATAAATTTTTCTCTATTCGTATCATTAATCAACTCATGCTTGTTTATATATTCAGTGTGTTTCCATTATTCGTAGTTACTATTATTGTTTGATGCTCCTGTGTACTTTTAACACAATCACATTAGACTTTGATGGTTACCTTTCATTCGGACAACAATATAACACAATCTCATCTTATTTACTTCCTCTTTCAAACCTGGAGTTAGCTATTACACCTAAGTAGTCCTGGTACATTTTGTGTATGGTGGTATTTATAGACATTGTGTGTGTCATTTCATATTTTCTACCATAGACTATTTTAAAGAAAAAAATATACTCTCAATGTTAAATTACTATAGTTTTATTATAATGTTACTTAAACATGTACAACAGTAGAGCAATGTATAGATGAATATTTTGGGCTTACAGTGCTTATGCAGTTGCAAAACCACACAATAAACAATAAAATTAATAAATTAATGGCATTGATTTTGTTACACACCATATTGTTTTGATGAAATTAAGTTTCATCACATTCACAATGTGAATATGACTTTGCATCAGTATATTGAATGTGGCTTGCCTTATTGTATGCTACCACTCTATTCTAATTACCAAGAAACTGGATTATGAATAGTACACCTGGTAGAACTATATAATTTACAAACGGAGTCTGACCCCTCCATTTCAAATCAGGCCCAAACAATTAAAGTAGTACGATCTGGTGTCAATGTGCTTGTAAACACAAATACAAATGTGAGTGCTGCTAAATTGCGACAGTATTCAGTTATAAGGCAGTCTTCTAGATGACCCAGAATACACTTATGTTAATTTATTTTATATTTTCTCCTTGGGAGTTGTCCAGGTTACAGTGAAAGTAGGGTAAGAGTCTTCACAGACAAGGTTGAGATTAAAGATTAATATAGCTGATGTCAAACTGTGAATCCAAAGACACATGAGGAAGAAGGGACAGCAATATTTGGTTTCTAAATGTACCATAGCAAAACACTATTGGTTAGCCAAGATTACTGGGTGAAGTAGAGGAAGTGAACAAACTACAAAACAAAGAAGCTACAAATTACAGAGTTTATAGCACCTAATTATTATTGTTCTTGGGGCTAATATGAAACTGCAAAAACTCCAAAGCATGGATATAAAAATAGTACTATTTTTTAACATAACATAAATATCATTTTAATTGTTATTGTTCCATATAGCAATAGTCTCCTTTAAATAATTATTGACCAAATATCTAAAGGATATACATTGGCTGGTCTTCCCATTATTGCCCAGCTAGAGTTCCCACAATCCTTCTTCTGTACTTGCCTGGGTATCCCTCCTTGATGTGCAGTAGGAATTGACAGTAATGTTTCAGCAAGGGAGTGAGATAATCAGTTTTGTTTGTTTGTTTTGTTATGCAAGTGAGCTCTACAATGGTGTAGACTCTACAATGGGAAAGACACCAAATGGAGTAGAGAGACTTGTAGAAGAGATATGAGAGAGAAGGCTATTATAATTGTCCCATTTGGGAGGGCCTCATATGAAGTGAGAATAGACTGGGGAGGCTAGATTTAACATATTTTCCTGATTTGGTGATTTTTGACTTGGGGATTTGGTGAGTAAATGGACAGAGAACTAGTTCCCATGGTGTAGCAGTAATCCAGGTAAGAAGGGATGTGAACCTGAACAAGGTAATGTTATTAGAAATGGGAAAGAGGGGAGTGAATTCCACAGATATTAAGGAGGTAGAATTCTCAGGAAATTTTGATTGATCAGATGTTTGGAGAAAGAGAGAGGAGCAAGGATAACCTTCAGTTTTTAAAAATTATCTATCACAGTGTATCATTCATGAATGTGGTTGATGTATAAACCCCACATCTTTCTCAGCTTCCTTCCCTTAGTGTCCTTTTGGAATTGTCACAGGGAAAAGACTAACAAGTAGTATTTGCCAGGCTATCCAATATCGAAAACTGTCACGTATGGGAATACACTCATAAAAATACCTTTCTTCATCTAGGAGAAACTGTCCCCTCACCAATGGGACAGTTATAAAAGCCTTCTCTCTCATATATCTGCTACAAGTCGCTATACCCCACTCGATATCTTTCACACTGTAGAGTCTACACTATCATATAATTCATTTGTGAAAAATAAAAGCATAAGTAAATGACACCTACAGACGTGGGGAAACTACGGCTCAAAGGCCAAATCTGAACTGTTGCCTGTTTTATAATGGTCTGTGATTTTTACATTTTTAATACTTGAAAGAAAAAAATTAGAGAAGAATTTTTCATGACATATTATAATGAAACAAAATTCAAGTGTCAGTGCCCATAAATAAAGTTCTCTTGGAATACAGCCATGCTTATTTGTGTACATACTGACTATGGGTGCTTTGGGGCTACAATGGCAGAGTTGAGTAGTTGTGACAGAGACGTGATAGCCCTCAAAAATATTTTATTTGCTACCATTTATTTACATAAATATTTACTACCTGGTCCTTTACAGAGAAAGTTGGCTGATTCCTGGTCTTCTATGAGCCAACTACTGTGCTAGGACTTTCACATCTTGTCTTCTATAATTTTCTTTTTTTAAATAATTTTTTTAAAACCTCTAGTAGTATACTAGATTACAGAGAGGCTAGGCACAGTGACTTAAGCCTGTAATCCCAGCTCTATGGAAGTCCGAAGTAGGAGGATAGTTTGAGCCCAGGAGTTTGAGGCTGCAGTGAGCTGTGATTGTGCCACTGTTTTCTAGCCTGGATGACAAAGTGAGACCTCAACTCAACAAACAAACAAATATATATATATATATATATATATAGAGAGAGAGAGAGAGAGAGAGAGAGAGAGAGAGAGAGAGAGAGAGAGAGCGAGAGAGCGCAACCTGGAGAAATTATCTAGCATCTAGAAAAATAACATGCTTTATTTGTAAACATTCAAACGATTTACACAAAGGTAATGAGTTTCTTTTTTTTTTTCTTCAGGATCATAACCTTTCCTTGCGTAAACACTAATATGGATTCCAAATGCTTATAGAATTCCAGATGCTAAATTCTCAGAACATAAGACCCTTTGCATATGCAATCTAGTCCCTACCTGCCTTTCCTCACATCTCATCACTCTTTTACCCACGGAATTTCTCACTGTTCTCCCATCTTTTGCAGACAAAAGCTGCAAAAACAAACAAAACAAAACAAATTCACGATAAATTTAGCGTTCACTTCATTTAGGTCCCTTGTCCACATTTCCCTTCGGTGTTTTTCTTCACATTCTTTTTTCTTCATCGAATTGTCTACCATTACAAAATAGAAAAGGAATGAAAGGGAGGGAGACAGGGAAACTGCAAAACACACACAGGTTTTATTGGGAGGAGGCATACCTCTTCTTATCACCCTGGTCAGCCTAATTTGTCAAAACCTCGAGGGTAGGACTCATTTTTCTTAACGTCATCCAACGTCTATTAGAAGTTCAGTGAATGGTCATTCAGTCATTGATTCTCCCCCTCCTCCTCCTCCTCCTCTTTCTCCTCGTCTCCCTTGGGAAACCTGGAAAACAGAAAATCTTCCCAGGAAGGCAAGGCAAGATCTGGGCTTGCGCACTTGGACTTGGCCGGCGCTCAATCCCGGTCGCAAGTCCGCGGGGTGTCTAAGCACAAACCAGGCGCGGCGCCTCGATCTCCCGCGCGCGTGCGCACGTGCGCGCGCCCCCTCTTCGGCCCCCTACCCTGCAGCAAGGGTAACGTGACGTAATGCAACCTCAGCATGTCAGCAGCGGTATAAAGGAGGACTGAGCGGCGCGCCTCCCAGACGCAGAGTAGATTGTGATTGGCTTAGGCTGCGGAACCTCGGAAACCCGAATGTGAGGACCTTACAGATCCACAGCTGCCGCCCCCTACAGCAATCCAGAGCGCGGTCATAGTCCCACTGGTGGCAGTGGAGGCGGCGGCGGCGGGTAGCGGCGGCGGCTGCAGCGGCAGTTGCAGGTAAGGAGACTCCTGAGGAGAAACTAGAGGGACTTGGATTCACCGCGTTCAGTGCCTCTAGTGTGAGGAGAAGAGAGTCTCACACCCAGAGTGTAGTGTAGGGCGAAGGGAACAATGGAAGTGGAATGTAGTCCCTAAGCTTCCCCCCCACCCCACCCCTGGCGGACAGTTTTTCTCCTTAGCCGCAGCCAGGGGCTGGAGGAATTGAGGGAAGTAAGGGTTTTCCCCTCAGCTAACCTTCTCTTCTCCTAGGCCAGAGGGAGCTAGAGCCGTCGTTGAGGCCGTCGGTGGTTTAGGGTGACGGGAAAATGGCGGAAAACAAAACGGTGAAGTGAAGAATGCGGCGTCCCCCTGGCATTTTCTCTCAGCGATCCCCCCACCCCCCCAATATTCCTTTCACGCGCGTCCCCCGCCACTCCTTCCCCCCCACCCTCCGCCTCCCGCTCGCCGCTAATATAACCTTTGGAATGCGCGAGGGATGGCGGCGTTGACGAGGAAGTGGCACCGAATTGAGCATTTTAGGGGATAGGGAGCCATCAAAGCCTTGGGGGTGGGGGTTGTGTGCGACAACTGTCGCCTCCACTAAAACACCACCATTTTGGTTCCCAGCTGTCTCCCATGTAGCGGTGCTGAGGAAGCAGGAGGAGGCTGAGGGGCTGGGCAGCACGGCGTGGGTAGCAGCGGTGGCGACCGCTGCACCAAGTGAGAGGAGGGAGGAAGGGAAAGGGTATTCTTGTCTCCTCGGTCTCTTCCTTTCTACTGCGAAGGTTCCCTTGTTCAGTTTAAGATCCAATCAGCTGGGTAATATCTGAAAGGGCACATGTGTGCGTTCTTCTCGAGAGGATTGAAACTTGGCATGGTCGTGGGCAAAGGAGACTTATGCGGGAAGAGGGCTGCGTCCAAAGCTGCAATACTGCTGCTTGCCAGGACTCCTTTGTCTCCCATCTCTGCAAATACTACTTTCGCATTCTCTTGCTCTACCGCCTTACCATTTCTTCTCTCCATCACCTTATTGACATCACTGAGAAGCTAGGTCCTGAATGAGCTATATTAGAAGAAACGGATGAGAGCACAATTTTCTTTTTGTGATTTCTGCTCCCCAAATTTTGATGGAAAGGTGTTTACTTGAAACGTACTTGGTGGGTTACTAACCCTTCATTCAATAAGGATGTAAGATACACTCTTGAGAAGACTGAGAAGCCTAGTATCTTTTGATTGTCGAATACTTAATATGCTGCTATTTTTATACCTCATTTATTATTGATCTTATTGAAACTACCTATATGGGAAAAGGGTGCTCAATTTATTTATTTGGTATTCAGACAGTATAATACTTTCCAGAATAGTTGCACTATGTGTTGTGATTTTTACACCTCATTGAGTGCTAGTGCAGATTTTTTATATGGCTTTGACAAGGATAAAGCTTGCCCTTGGCTCTCTTTCACTTTCCAAAATAAGGTGTTGTTAGTAATTTTTAAGATGTGCTTTAGATAAGATTTTGATTTAATCTGGTGGATGAAATCTAAGTGTAATAACATTGCTTATATTCTTAGTAAGTAGTTGTTTTTGTTGGATTCCCTTTGGTTGCTTTTTAGATTACTACAGATTTGAGCATATGAGCCCTTCCCAGCCTCACCCTGCACATTCAGGTGTAAAGAAAAACATTCTTGTGTAAGACATTAGTTTAAAATATCTAATTTTGAATGTATTTGTATAATAGGTAAAGAGGACTTTTCCCAAGGAAAATAACATAGTTCAGAAGGAAAAATAAAAAAGAAATTACTGCAGATTTTACTTTACCGTATAGTAAGAAAATCTACAATTTCTTCAAGACACTCATAAAGGTGATTAACAAATTACTTAATGTTTTATCTTATTTAACATACAAAATTAAGTTTTTAAAACATTTGAAGATACTGGTAATTGTTCTATTTTGTGGTAAAGAAAGCAGTTACTCTAGTTAAAGTCCAAATAGTACACTTTTAAATGTTAGCAAGTCCTTATGGCTTTTTAATTTATCTGTGTGAGCACACACGTAATTTATTGTGAACTCTCTTGGTTTCTGGACCTCATTTTGAGTAAGAGTAAGGCAGAAAACAATGTGATATTTTTAAAAAGATAAAACACAGCTAAGAATTTCTAAAAATGTGTAATTTTGTTCACATATAAAGTAATTATGTCTGAATCTTTTGATACAGAGAAATGTTAACTACTTCTGTAGCATATTTATGTATATAACTCAGTTGTTGATAGGGTTACTCTGTGAGACTCTCCTGCCTCCTGAATACTTATACAACTTAAAATCAAGGGGGAAAAAACACCTTAGCCATCCTCCTATACTGAAGAATGGATTAAATTGTTTTACATGGCAGCTTTCTAAAACTTTCATTGAGGATGTAACTTCATCTTTTGTGCAATATAACTCAGGTTATTAAACACTCCTAAGTGAAAATGAGATAAATGCTTTATAAAATTGACAAGTTTTCTTTTTTGGTTGATTTATTTAGAATCTTATGTTTGAAGAGTTAATGCACATATGCAATTGTTAGAATTATATTGAGTTACAGCATCTGAGTTTATGCTCCATACTGTCTTAAATATAGTATATGTCATTTGAAATGAAATAGGTTGAGCCTGTGTTTTCAAAACCAGCATGAAGTCAGCATAATTTTATTAATCATTAATAAAAATCAGTTGTAAAATTACAAGTAAACAATGTACTGAAAGAAACAGTTTGTTAAATATTTATATGTGATTGATTTTATTTTTACTGTATTTAGGAAGCAGTCATTTTTCATGTGTCCTCAAAACTGTGAGACAAGAGAATATAGTAGAGTAAGGCCAGAAGTCCTTACTGGTTCAAAGAACTCTGGGGAAACTGGGATAGAGCATTATACATTATAAGTGGAATCCCAGGAGCCAGAGGTGAATACAAGTTTATCTGCAGAGCTCCGCTGCAGGTCTGATCTGGGTCTGGAAGAAATGGATGAGAGCCACTGGATGACATTCACTAATACTAGACATCTGAGTCCTCTAGTAATGTATAAATATCCCAACTATTATCTGTTATCATCTTTCTCTTATTCTTCTTTTATAATCTGTATTTTAACTGGAACCCCAGACCTGCAGTTTTGTTCTTTTGCTTGCTTATGTCACTTCTGTATGGCTCATCACCTTTATTGTGCCTTATTCTCATTATTTTTAATTTACTTCCACCTGGTCCTTTTATTTATGGTTGTCACATAAAAATACCTAATAAAGGTTTTTGTTTGTTTTGTTTTCTTTGTAATGAGCTTTGCACACATGGTTGATAGGCATATTTTCAGTTGCTTTTTTTCTCAAAACAACTGACTTTGGGCTAAATATGCTTAAACTATTGTTAAAACCATTTCTTTTGCAGATATTTGTGAATGAACTTTACTAAGTATGGATTCAGGTGGTGGAAGTCTTGGATTACATACATCAGACTCTAGAATGGCCCATACCATGATTATGCAAGATTTTGGTAAAGCATTTTCTTTGTTATATATTTTTACTTTTTTAAAAGTAAAAATGTACTGAAAAAAAAAAAATTGAGAAAGGGGAGAACTGCAGCCAAAACATGTTCTTTTACTAGAAAAATTCATTTTTAGAACTTATTTTCTTAAAGCTGTATAGCAGTGGTCTACTTGGAATCAATCATTGTTATAATTTGTGAGAAGGTTGACAGGTAGGGAAACTAGGAATATAGTGATAATATATTACTGGAAATGAAAAACTCAATTTGCATGAATAATTCCATGATTGTACTATATTCTTATAGTATATATCAGCCCTCATGTAGGAAATGTTAAATTGGCTTTCTATTTTATTTTTATTTATTTATTTATTTTATTTTTTGAGTTGGAGTCTCACTCTGTCACCCAGACAGCCTCGACCTGCTGGGCTCCAGCGATCCTTCCGCCTCAGCCTTCTAAGTAGCCGGAATTACAGGCATGCACTACCATGCCTGGCTGATTTTTTGATTTATTGTAGAGATGAGGTCTCGCTACCCAGGCGGGTCTCGAACCCGCAGGCTCAGGCAATCCACTCACCTCAGCCTCCCAAAGGCGTGGGATTACAGGCTGAGCCACCGAGCCCGGCTGGCTTTCTATTTTATAATGTAAAATGTATTTTACATTTTAAGTTGCATTGCTACTAAAACTGGAAAAGGAAGTGTTTTCACTGATTTAACAAACTTAGATGCTTATATAGTTATAAATGCACTAATGATTAGATACTTATATAGTTATAAATGCACTAAATGATTAATTATATTCTAGTTGTTAACACTAGCATATCTTTTTCTTTTTCTTTTTTTAAAAAAGAAAAGGCACCCTACTTTTTATTTTTTTAAAAAAGAAAAGGCACCCTACCCGAGTTTTTTTAGCAGCCTCTTAACAGTAGTCATGTCAGTGAAGATGCTAAGACTCCACTGACGTTCAACAAAGAAGCTGAATTTGGGCAGAGATGGTCAAAATTATAGAGGAGATAGAGGTAGCTGAAGTGTAAGAGGCAGGGATGGGATTATAAGAATTGAAGATAAGATTGGAGTGAGAGCAGACAAATGGTAAATTAGGATCAAAAACAGGAAACGAGTTGTTGAAGCTGAAATTAGTGAAGAGGGACTAGAACTAGTAATACTTTGCTCAATTAAGAAAATGCAACTACTGTTCTCGGATAATATAGTTGAATATGTTGTTTGCCTCCCTGTTGTAAAGCCCACAGCAATGTCAGAAGAACTGTATTCTAGTTTTGGTAGTGTTATTAACAAGCTATGTAAACTTGAGGGAATTACTGAATTCACTTTTATAATGAGGAGGTGGTTCTAGATAACATTTAAGGTCCTCTGCAATTCTATGATTCTTTGACATCTTTGCCTGATGAATAAATTGGGGTCATTCAAGATTTAATCTGGCAAGGTTTGAGATGACCGTGTAGTTAATTGATGAAATAGAAAGGAAACTTAATCTTATCTTCTAAAAGATAAGTGAATTGTATTGGTATTGATTATGGATTATTTAGAAATGATTTGGGGTGAAAATACAGGAATAAATTCTAGAGGAAGGACAATTGGGGCAAAGTGTGTAAATTAAAGGTGTCCTTATGAATTTTTTACTAGAGAATTGATAGTTTTTAGAATCCCGAGATACTTGAACTTCAGTATAGTAAATAAGTTTTGGTCAAAATGTCAGTTTATGTTTTTTTAAACCTTTTAAAATAAGATATTTGAAAAAATAACAGAAATCCTTTCACTCCTGAAAAAGTTGCCAATTAGAAAGTAATTTTTTTTTTCAAAAACAAGTGATTCCTTTCAAAGAATAAAATAATTTTGATTGGTATTGGTGAATATTTACTTAGTACTTCTCTTACCTTCTCCATTGTTCCTCCTCAGTGTCGTGAGTTATAATTAATCCTTTATTACAGCTAATATTTTTTTCTTTTAGTTATTAGGGAAGTAGAAGGTGTATATTGAAATATTTCATATACATATTTTTCTTCTTTACTTTTTATTGAGATATATAATTCACATACAATACCAATCATCCATTTTATTAAGTGTGCAATTCAATGGTTTTTAGTATATTCACAAAATTATATAACCATCAATGCTACCTAATTTTAGAACATTTCCTCATCCTAAAAACAAAACAAAACCTCACACTCATTAGTAGTCATTCCCCATCCTCTTCCTCCCCATGAGCCCTAGGCAACAACTAATCTTCCTGTCTGCAGGCTTACCTATTCTGAAGATTTCATATATATGGAATCATACAATATATGGTCTTTTGTATCTGGCTTCTTTCACTTAGCATCCTTTCAAGCGTCATCTGTGTTATAGCATGTATCAGTATATACTTTATTCCTTTTTATTGCCAAATGATATTCCATTGTATGGGTAAACCACATTTTGTTTATTCATTCATCAGTTGACAGACATTTGGGTTGTTGAAATATTTTTAATGCATTACAATGTTTTAATGTTTAACCTAAAGCTTTGCATCTTAGATTAGAGTATGAGTGCCCTTGGATGCATGTGACCCAAGACATATGTAAACCACAGGATAAACAGCATATCTTCTTGGAGTCCTTGTTATTTGAATTGAGGAGAATATGCATACACACACATATATCTTCACACAATCGTAGTCACATAAAGCAAGTTTATAGTCAGTCACAAAAGACAGATTTTCACTCACTATACCCTCTTTTTTTAGGAGTAATAAAATGGAAAAGTTTGCGAACTACTTCTAATTTTTAATTGGTATTTTCATAGTATTACTTAAAATCCTTTCTACAATGAATATAATAATGTATATAAACTGATTTATACTAGAAAAAATGTTTAAAGCCACTGTTTTTTGTTATACACGTGTTCATGATCTAACTACCTATTAGTATTTTTGGTTATTGGTTTTTTGAAATGATTCATTCTTTTTAAATTTCATTTTTGTGCTCTCTTAAATTTTATGTAAATTGATGGGAACTAAATTGTCTTTGCATTTTGGTGAGATTATTTTTTTGAATTTGCAATTAGTTCAAGGATAGCTAATATGGGTAATGCTCACTCATCTGTGTTTGGGGATGATGTTTACCTAAAATGTGAGTTAGGTTTTTGTTTGTCTTTGGGGGAAATTCTGAACTCTTAAAAGGCAAGAACACTATTTTTTGATTCATAGTTCCAAGCAGAACTTCATACATAAGTGTTTCAATTTTTTGTATGATATTTTGTGAAATGCAGAGATTCTCAAACAGGTCTAAACCTAAAAAGACCTATATTGGGAGGACTTTGGGAAATTTTATCTCTGATAGCTTAGATTTCTTCTAAAAGCAGCCTCTTTATACTTATTCTACCCACCTACTAAACTTTCTAAATTCTAAAATTTAATTAGAAATTGGATGCATTCCATTTAACTTTCTGTTAGCATGGAAACTTAGATATTTGCAACCCCATAACTTAATGATATTTATGAAAAATAGAGTTTAACATACACAGAACTAGCCAAACAAGAACACCACATGGTACTAGATCTTGAAATTCTATAAGGTTCTTGGTTGGAAGTATGGTATGGTTATTTTATATAGAGAATCTGAAATATTATTTAATTCAGAATTCATTAAACCAATTTCTTTTTAAGGATATTTGTGATTTTAAAAATTAAACTATTGTGCTTTATGTAATAACCTTGCTGGTGTCTCAGTATAAATGGTTGTCCTTGAAGTCTGCCATTGAATGTAATAGTTATTTAAGATTTTAATGCTGTAAAAAATCTGCTTCAAAAATTAAACAGCAAAACATCCTTAGCAGTCCAAGACACAATCCAACAAATAACACATTTTATGCTATCTGGTGAAATTCCAGGTAATCACATTTAAATAAACTAACATTAATAAAATGGGAAATACTTTAAATCAGGACTTGTTTCTTACTGTTATCTGGTTACCTAATTGATGTCCCACTTTTTAAAGGATTTTTTCTTATTAGTTAGTAAAGATAAATTCTTAATATCATTTAATGATGTTTATGAAATACTTTAAAATTTAAATGAGTGGCTATGTGATATTTATCCTTTCTCTCAAGCTATTTATTTTTAAATGAGTGACTATGTGATATTTTATCCTTTCTCTCAAGCTATTTATTTCGTAGTGCCTTACTTGGTTAATCTTACAAATCTCTTAAAAAACAATATCTAGGGTAAATAAACTTTATCCTCCTCCTAGGCAAGTAGGATAAAAGCCATTCTGGAGTCAATCAATGAGTTCAGTTCCAAGCTTGAATTTTGGGCAAGCTTATTTAACATCTCTAAACCATATTTCCTTCATATTTAAAAGGAGGATAATAATAATCTTATGAAGTTCTGAGGATTAAAGGTATTAGCAGATTGCTTGTTGCATAGTAAGTGTTCAATAAATATAGCTAGTGTATAGTTAAATAATGACTTTGTTTAGAAATTCAGTGGAATCAAATAATGACTTTGTTTAGAAATTCAGTGGAATCTAACAGACAAACTGACAAGGGGAAAGAGCAAAATTTAATGAGGGACATTTTGAACCTTGGTCTGAGTAATCTGCCAGTACTCTGTGGGAGTCCTATCAATTATTGGTCTAGGATTCTTGAGATCATTTGGTTCAGAGTAAACAAGCTTATTAGATCTGATTTATTTTAAGCTATAAGCTCCTATGTGAGCTTAAAAACACTTATTCTATCTATTCCATCTTCTTAGAATCCACCCAACCAAGTTAATCTGAGCCAGGTCAGCACTAGCATTATTCTATCCTTCCATCCTTCCCTATGTTTAACTCTCAGAAACCAGACTAACTTTCAGCAGAGCTCAAATAATAAATGGAATGTCTCATATTTTAAATCTGTGGTTTGTGAAAACATTTTCATGAAGTAGTAATATTATTGTTTATATATGTAGAATTGCAGTACTGTGACTTTTACAGGATTAGTATTTAATTTTTCCTTGCTAAAATCACATTTCCAGTCTGATTGAAGGCTAAAATATGTATCCCCATTTTCTCCCCATTTCCTAAATGGCTAGTGGAGTAACAAATGAATGAAAAGTACTTGTATTATACATATTCCCTTTATTTACTAGATTTCCAGGATTGTGGTTGTGTCTTTTTAGGGTAATTTGGTGATAACTCCCATAATGAATTGGTTAAAAATAGTGAACACTATATAGCAAATGGAACTCTTTCAGATACTACTTTATAGAAAGTGATCATTATGTGGAAAACGTTTTGTACTGGTTGATTTCTTGTAACTAATTTATTATAACCACAAACTCTCAACTTGTTTACTATACCATCTCAGGGAGACAGAACTTAACAGAATTTTTTATGAAAAGATATTATGCTCATATAGTATTTACCGTGCTGCTCCAGAAAAACCTTGACGTTTGTTCCTACAGATTTACCATTATCAAGCCAAATCTTAGTAAAAAATAAATAGGGTTTTCCCCCCACATCAGATGTTGAAAGATGCCTTCCACTTTTGGATATAGTAATTCTTATAAGCTAAAGTCCAAACACTTTTGTGTTTATCATACATACTTTGTAATAGAATATTTTATTAAGTCACTTAATTTAACATATTTGTATTCTTTTATGTTTATGTGTCCATTTTATTTAAATTTTTTGAAACAATTGTAGACTCACAGGAAGTTGAAAAAATAGTACACTTTTCTCTAATGGTGACATCTTATTGTAGTATAATATTAAAACCAGATTTGTGCATTCCTGTTAACTAGACTATAGACTTCATTCAATTTTCACCATTTTTTTACACATATTTGTGTATGAGTGAGTGTATATATTATAATTCTATAGTTTTATCTCACATGCAGATTTATGTAAATACTACTACAATGAAGACATAGTCTTCTATTACTATATATATGCCACCCTTGTGTAGTCACATAAACGTTTCTATTCTTGGCAACCACTAAATCTGCTCTCCATCTCTATATTTTTATAATTTTGAGAATATTATATAAATCACTCCATTTATACACTATACAGTATCATTTCACTCACTATAATTCTCTGGGGAAAATTAAGGTTGTTGAATGTATCAATAGTTTTGTTCCTTTTTATTGCTGAGTACTATTCTGTGGTAAGGATGTGCCAGAGTTGGTTTAACCAACCATTCACCTGCTGAAGTACATTTGATTTATTTTCAGTTTTTTGCTATTATGAGTAATAGGTACTATGAACTGTTATGAATATTCATATACAATTTTTTGTATAAATGTTTTAATTTTTCTGGAGTAAAATGTCTTAAATTGCAATTGTTGGATTGTATGGTTAAGTGCAGGTTTAGATTTGTAAGAAACTGCCAAACTATTTTCCAGCGTGATTATTGCCATTTTACATTCCCACCAACAACATACAACAGATCCAGTTTCTCCACATCCTCATGAGCCTGTGGTGTTATCAGTTTTTTATTTTAGCTGTTTTAATTGGAATATAGTGACATTTCATTATAACTTTTATGGTTTACAAGAAAATAAAACACATTATTTTAAGATCTTCATTTGGGTTTTACTAACATTGTTTTCACCCACCTTTACCCCAATTCCTGGTTTGTGATGTTTTTTATTGCAGTTAAATTGTCAGTGATTTTTAAAGTGATATATGTGCTATGACTATTTAACATTTAAAAAATATTTTATAGCAGTTGATATATGAAATACAGCACTTATAATTAATAAAATAACTTTAATTTTTTTTGGATAATTGTTTGTATTATAGTGGCTGGAATGGCTGGTACTGCGCATATCGATGGAGATCATATTGTTGTTTCAGTTCCTGAAGCTGTGTTAGTTTCTGATGTTGTCACAGACGATGGGATAACTCTTGATCATGGCCTTGCAGCTGAAGTTGTCCACGGGCCTGATATCATCACAGAGACTGATGTAGTAACAGAAGGTGTGATCGTTCCTGAAGCTGTACTTGAAGCTGATGTTGCTATTGAAGAAGATTTAGAAGAAGATGATGGGGACCACATCTTGACTTCTGAACTAATTACAGAAACCGTTAGGGTACCTGAGCAGGTTTTTGTGGCTGACCTTGTTACTGGTCCTGATGGACACCTGGAACATGTGGTCCAAGATTGCGTCTCAGGAGTTGACTCTCCCACAATGGTATCAGAGGAGGTTCTTGTAACTAATTCAGATACAGAAACTGTGATTCAAGCAGCTGGTGGTGTTCCTGGTTCTACAGTTACTATAAAAACCGAAGATGATGATGATGATGATGATGTCAAGAGCACTTCTGAAGACTACTTAATGATATCTTGTAAGTGAAGCATGAAGTCCATAATTACTCAGGAGATTGATTTATATAACCTGGAAAAGTTTCCTGGTATGAAAGATATATTTAATAACAGGCATGAGGGGAATCTTTTTGAAAAATATATTTTTTTTCAAACTGTTCTGTTGAGATGCTTCCTTTATTCATATTTTTAATTTACTCAGTAAAAATTCAAAATGAAGAAAAATAACAATTTATTAATATCTTAAAAGTATATATTTGGCAGGATCAACAAGAACATTAGTTGATGCAAAATAGTAGTGATAAATATATATTTCAAAATGGGAACTTTCTTTTTTTTTTTTTTGAGTTGGAGTCTCACTCTGTCGCCCAGACTGGAGTGCAGTGGCCGCTCCCAGCCACCACAGCCTCGACCTGCTGGGCTCCGGCGATCCTTCCGCCTCAGCCTTCCAAGTAACCAGAATTATAGGCATGCGCTACCACGCCCGGCTGATTTTTTGATTTATTGTAGAGATGAGGTCTCGCTGCCCATGCAGGTCTCGAACCCTTGGGTTCAGGCAATCCACTCACCTCAGCCTCCCAAAGGCGCGGGATTACAGGCTGAGCCACCGAGCCCGGCTGGGAACTTTCTTTTATGCAGCCACTGCTTTCTTAATATGACAGACACTGGAATTATCAGTTCATTTTTGCTTAGAAATTTAAGCATATATTTATTAAGAAATGCTGTATTTCTAAATTAAATCATAAAGTTAGATCATGTTCTGCAGTTTTCGCTTTGTTTATAATCTGTCTTAATATGTGTGTGTGTTCTATGTAAAATTATTGAACACGTTTATTTTAGACTGCTTTGTGAGATCCTCAGAACATTCCATCTGAAGGGGGAAGATATAAATATTTTGTTCTCATTTTAAGTGATGGGTCTTGATAAGGTACTGATGGAGCTTGAAGAAGTGGGTCTATTCTTTATTAATTTCAAAGGGATTATGCTACAGTTAGTAAAGATTGCATAAACACTTCACTTTTCCGGGGAGGATGTTTGGTTGTTTTCTTTTTTTTTTTTTTTTTGAGTTGGAGTCTCACTCTGTCGCCCAGACTCTGGAGTGCAGTGGCCGCTCCCGGCCACCGCAGCTTCGACCTGCTGGGCTCCGGCGATCCTTCCGCCTCAGCCTTCCAAGTAGCCAGAATTACAGGCGCGCACTACCACACCCGGCTATTTTTTTTTTATTTATTGTAGAGATGAGGTCTCGCCTGCCCAGGCGGATCTCAAACCCGGGGGCTCAGGCAGTCCACTCACCTCAGCCTCCCAAAGGCGCGGGATTACAGGCTGAGCCACCGAGCCCGGGTGTTTTCTTTTTAAAATACAAAAATGGTTGGAAAGTGAATCACCAAGTAGAGTGTGTATATATGTTTGTGTAAAGTGACTGTATATTTTATATGTGTCAGTGAATTTAAAACTAAAAGCAAACTAGATTTATTTAATTTGTGAATTTGATGATTCTGAAGTTTTTTCTTCTATAAACATTTTTGAAGGTAAATATTTACATTGTTTTTAAGAAAGATTTAAGCCACTGAAAGACTACAAATGTTATTATTCTTAAATAGATGTGGATTACTAAAGCAACCTCCATATTTACGTCTTAACCTGATATTAAAAATAAAACCTATGGTTATCATATAAATGATGTGGCAAAGGTTAGTAACCTCTCTATATTAAAATAAATTCAGTATGCCTTGAAAAGTATATTAATTAAATTAAACTGGTATTAAAGTAGTCTAAAATGTAGATAATTTGTATTGTGAATAGCCATATTTTGTGTTGTCTATGCTTCTTGTTTTTTTTAAGAGAAATACAGTTTCTGGGATACTCAAAGTTAGAATATTTATTTTGACAATTACGTCATATATCAAATGCAAGGACTTCTGTCCTTCTGGTCTAATAGAATTAGACAAAAAATTAAGAAGAGCATTACATTGCTGTAATATCATTGGAACTACTGTGGGGTTATTTTAGGGGGAATTTAGGCTGGGTATTAATTAACTTCTTAATCATTAGTAAAGAAATAGGGATAATTTTTTAAAAATTCCTTTAACTATCACTTTTATTGTGAAAATCGAGCATACAAATATGAATACCCAAAATTTAAATATTTTCATATATCACTCATTATTCCACCACCCAGATCTTTGGCCATTTTTATAATAATTATAAAACCTTTTTACTCTCATAGTTCCCATCTATTTTATTCTGTTTTTTCATCATTTTCTTAATCTTGATTACATTTTCATTACCTTTTAGTTTCTGTTGGCCATCTAATCTTTTAGGTGTTAGAGAATAAATTGTGTTGAAAGCCCTCAATGTGAATTCAAGAGGTCCTCTTGTCTTTTTTTTCTTTAAAATAGAAGTTTTCAAAATACCTAAGTGATAAAGTTGGGGACTTAATACAGATTTTGTTGTTGTTCCTGAATCTCTAAATAGAAAGCCTCATCAGTAGCTGAGTTTTAGAGGTAGGGAGTTTGTCTTCTCTCAGTATTTGAGATGCATCTGAGTTTAGACCAAACCTCACAAATTCTTCATCTTAACTGATAGTTAGGCTCTCCCATTTTGCTAAGTAACTTGCAAATTAATGCAGGATAACTGTAGCTGTCTAAAGTTGTCCCAGATGTGCTCTTTTTAAAAAATATTTACCACCCATAAAATATTTATGGGTTTATGGTGATAATTTTGTTATGAAAAGCAAGTTCCTTTATAATGAGCCAAAATAATGTATTTTTAAATGATGTTTTACTTATAAAAATTGATTCATATTTCTTTCAGGAGCATACTTTTGTATAGAGCAAAATATCTTGGTATGGTCGTGATGGGAGATCTCATTCAAACCTCACTAGTTTCAGGGGTAAAGAAAAGTTAACACTTTTGTTATTTTACAAAATGAAACAGCTTTATTGAGATATAATTCACATATCATCTGATTCACTCATTTAAGGTGTACAAATCAGTGGTTTTTAGTATATTTACAGAATTGTACAATCATCACTACAACCAATTTTATACTTTTTTATCATCTGAAAAAAGAAAACCTATTTCCTTTAACAGTTACCCTCCCACTCTGTCCACTCCCAGGCAAACCACTAATTCAATTTCTGTCTCTGTAGATTTGCCTATACTGGACATTTCATACAAAAGGAATAATACAATATGTGGCCTTTTCTGTCTGGATTTTTTTTACTTAGCATATTTCCAAGAGTCATTCATGTCATAGCATGTTTCAATACAGTTGACCCTTAAACAATGGCAGGGGTTAAAGGTGTTGACCCTTCATGCTATCAAAAAGCCACATATAACTTGTGACTTCCCAAAAACTTAACTACTAATAACCTAATGTTGATTAGAAGACTCACCAATAACATAAATGGGTGATTAACACGTTATATATGTCGCATGTTTATATACTGTTTTCTTACAATAAAGTAAGCTAGAGTAAAGAAAATGTTGAAATCATAAAGAAGAGAAAATATATTTACTGTTCAGCAAGTGGAAGTGGATCACCCTAAATGTCTTCATTCTTATCCTCTTCACATTGTATGGGCTGAGGAAGTGGAGGGACTGCTCTTGCTTCTTAGGGATGGCAGAAGCAAAAGAAAATCCACACATAAGTGGACCTTCATAGTTTAAACCTATGTACTCAAGGGTTACCTATTATTATTAGTTTTACTTTTAGAGACAGGATTTTGCTGTGTTGCCCAGGCTGGAGTGCAGTGGCACAATCATAGCTCACTGTGATCTTGAACTGGGCTCTAGCAATCCTTCTGCCTTAGCCTCCTAAGTAGCTAGGACTACAAGCACATACCACTATGCCTGGCTATTAAACCAAAAAATTATAGAAGTAAGGTCTCACTATGTTGCCCAGTCTGGTCTTGAACTTCTGGCTTTCAGTGATCTTCCCACCTTGGCCTCCTGAAGTGCTGGGATTATAGGCATGAGCCACTATGCCCAGCTTTTAAAAATTTTTTTGTAGAGATGAGTCTGGTCTTGCTATGTTGCCCAGACTAGTCTTGAACTCCTGGCCTGAAGTAATCCTTCCACCTTCGGCCTCCCAAAGCACTGAGATTACAGGCATGAGCCGCTGTGCCTGGATCATACTTCATTCCTTTTTATTATTAGTAATATTCCATTGTGTGGATAAATGATATTTTGTTTATCCACTCACCAGTTAATGGACATTAGGTTGTTTCTACTTTTTGGCTATTGTGAATAATGCAGTTATGAATATTTATGTACAAGTTTTTATGTGGGCATATATTTTCAGTTATCTTGGGTGTGTACCTGGAAGTGGCACCTCTGCGATCTAAAGTGCCTTTTTTTTCTATATTGTGAAATATGAATCCTTTGTACATTACCTGATCCCATCTGTTTAGTGTATCAATATAATGCATAGTTATGACATCATACCTACCATATAATTTTGGTAGATGTTATATACAATAAGTAAAGTAAAAACCTACTTAGCCTTAAAAAGGGATGTTGTATTATACGTTTTACTAAAATGAAAGTTTAATCAAATTGTTCCAATGGGTTATAAAAGAATATTAAATGTTACCAAACATTGCAATATTGGCAAACACACCTTACTCTTTTATATTATATTTAGTGTCATTAGAATTTTGCAGTGAATATTATGTTACTTACTGCTAGGTTTTGAAACAACACTGTGTGGCTTGAATATTGCATGCCTTACAACAAGCATAAAAGTTAAGCTTGAATTTAAGTTATTTTGAATTATATCTGTTTCAAAAGCCTTTGAGGATTTATTGCTAAAGCCAATTGCCTATTAGGCCTTTGTTAATTTTGTACTTTCCATAACAAAGAATATAGAATAAATTTTAGTGAAATAGGTTTACCTCTTAAAACTGCATGCCACCATCTTTAATAACTATTATCTTCTATGAAATTAAAATTCAGAACAAGTTCAGTTACTCAATACACTTCAAAATTGCTCATTCTGAGGACTCTAAGTAAAAACTAATGGATACATTAAAATTAAAGTACAAACCTCACGGAATAAATGGAATAGCAACAGAAAAATTAATCAGAGAGAATAGCAACAGTAATTTCATACTTAAAGCTAAAATTATCGTACAAAACTATTGAGAAGTAGTGAAAAAATGTCTTTCATTTCATGAGTTTTAATTATGTGAATTATAGCTTTAATTCAGCTTATCCCAGAGGGAACAATAGTCACTTTAAACCATTCATGTATAATAAAGCACGATTTATCAAATGAAGTGTTTTTATTATTTTACTAATTTACCATAAGTTATCTTAACCTAAGAGATTTGTATTTTGGACAGTTTTTAAAGTTTTTGTATATCCTATGCCTTTATTTCCAAGAATGAGAAATGAGAACTTTTTTCTAAAGATTTGCCTCTTGTAATTATTCTCTGATCTCATTTTATTCAGTATTATTTTATAAGATAAACTGTTAAACCAGTAATAGCAGATATGTCATCATTTTCCCCTTCATCTTAATGTACTTTATTGTCAAAAAATGTTACCAAAAATATAGTAATGGAATTAGGAGCTATGATGAAATGAAAATATTTAGTCTTTGTTGTGATCATTTGAATGCTTTTTTGGAGTAGACAGCATACTATTCAAACATTAAAATAGTGTGGAGTCATTTGATTGCAAAGTTAACATAGCTTTGCAATGTAAAAAGAATTTTGAAATACATTGTTTTCCACTATTGAAAAGCCAAAAGAATATATTTGAAGTCATGCATATCAAGTTTGAAAGTGACGAAGGGAGAATTTAGCCTTTGATCCATTTATATCTTGCTGAAATTTTTTAAATATTGCTGAGTTAATAGCTTTGATATGCCACTTTATTTTGTTTTTGTAATTGTTAAATGTATTCAGGGGCTTCAGGATTTTATGTTTTATATGTGGTACTATGACACATATAATAAAGAGGAGCAAATTTTCAATTTAGATTATATTTCAGTTTTTATAGGAGCAGCATTGAAATTAAGAAATGCTAAGTACATATTTGGGGGAATATATTATTTGAATATCATTTATGGTCATAGGACAAAGTTTATTAATATAATCTATTCATTGCCTAGTTCATGCATAGTATTCACATGAAACTAAATATCTTTAAAGACTATAGCAGAGAATCAAATGTTGTAAGTATACTTAAAATATAAGTAATAGTCTCAAATGTTGCTTTACCTTTTTACATGATTTTTTTTCATATGCACTGAAGCATCAGGTTTTTAATAAGGAAAAGAGGTAGAAGCACCCATTTAAGTACTTCTTTGGTATAAGATTTTGAAATAAAGCATACATTGCTAAATCTAGACTATACAAAAATTTTGACTCGAAGTTGTCTTCCATTGATACAACAGAAATTAGAATAGCCACTAAGATTTTATGATATATGAAAAGTCCTTTTTATAAAATAATTTAGGTTTTTTTTTGTGTTTCCTCTTTTTTAAAATCTTAGTTCTCATGTTAATTGGTTTTAGAAATAATGGCTCTTTAGTTTGGGAACTTTTGTTTATGTGAGCTTATTTTATGAGTAATATGTATTTCATGTTAATTTTTCTGTTGTTAAATTTGGTGAGGACTTAAGATGTTGGAAGTGATGGAAGATTAAACTATTTTAAAGCCATGTCAATAAAAGCTGCATGACTATTATGTACTTTGTGTCTATAAATTGAAATCTGTGAATATATTTTTTTAATATAATTGTGATCATGTAGTTAACTAATTTTGTATACTGTTTTTCCATGAACCATAACAATTTTAATGGCTGAATAATAGGTCATCAAGAGAATATAGTGGGTAGGTGGTTAACACATTATTTCATGTTGCACTTATGCTTTAATACCCACTAAATGTTAGTGTTACTTTTTCACTGAAATAGTTTCCTCTTTTTATTTTATAGTGGATGATGTTGGAGAGAAATTAGAACATATGGGGAACACACCATTAAAAATTGGCAGTGATGGTTCACAAGAAGATGTTAAAGAAGATGGGTTTGGTTCAGAAGTAATAAAAGTGTATATATTTAAAGCAGAGGCTGAAGATGATGTTGAAATAGGTACAGCAACTAATTTTTATTTATTGCTATGATAGGATTTTAAATTCTTTTCTTGGGACTATTCTAAAATTATCATCAAAGCATAATTGTTTTATAGGTTTCTTTGGGGAGTGTATATTTTTAAGAATTATATATGAATATAAAGCAGGAATGTAGAATATGTCATTCTTACATTCTTTCAAACATAAGCAGAAAATTACATCTGAAAATATCAAAACAGACTGGGAGGATTTAGTTTAGATTAAGAAATTATAAAGAGCATTTAAGAGCATGGATCCTAGAGTCAGGCTACTTGGATTTTGATCTCAATTCTGCCACTTAGCTGAGCGATGTTTGACGAGTTTCTTAACCTCCTGCCTCTGCCTCCTCATCCATAAAATGGCCATAATAAAAGCAACTACCTAATAGGACTGTTGTGAGGATTCAATGGGTAAATATATATAAAAGACTTATTAGTGCTTGGCATATAAGTGTGATGTGTTAGCAATTGTTATTTATCAGTGATAACAAAAAATTTAAAGTGTAATTTATATCAAAATTTTTCTTGACACTGAAATTTATTTTGGAGTTAAAAAACATTTTTCTAAAGGAAAAGATTTCTTACATATTCTCCTCATTAATTTAGTGAGTTATTCCACAATACTTTTCTATTTTGATATATATTTTAATTTTTAAGGTGGAACAGAAATTGTCACAGAGAGTGAGTACACCAGTGGACATTCTGTACCTGGAGTGCTTGACCAGAACCGAATGCAGCGGGAGAAGATGGTTTACATGGCAGTTAAAGATTCTTCTCAAGAAGAAGATGATATCAGTAAGAACAAAAGACTCTGTAGTGAATTATCAGTAACCATCATGCATTTTTTTTTAAAAAAAGCAATCTCAGAGATACAAGCACTATATAGGAACAAAGTTCAGTAAAATAAACCTGACACTTTGCTATAAATAATTTTAAACAGAAGCGTCCTTTTTACCATCCATGTATATATGTATTGTTCAAATCAGCAATGAAATACTATATCTTAGTATACTACACTAGAAATACAGAGATGAGCAATATACAGTTCTGACTTAAGCAGAGCTCTCAAATATATAATTATTGAGCACCTACTATGTGTTAGTGGATATGTTGCGATATATTATCTCATCTAATTTTCACAACTCATCTCTGAGGTAGGTGGTATTATCCCTGTTTTGTGGAAGGAAAAATGACTTAGAAAATAATTTGCCTAAGATCATTCCAAGCAGAATTTGAATTGATATGTAACTCTTCTGCCAGTGTTCTTTCCACATGGCAGTGAGCACCGTTGCCCTTTCTCTGGATTTAGCAGTGGAAGGGCTAACTGGTTGTTCCTTTGTCACTGAGGGGTTATCTGCGTAAGTATTCTTCAAACCCAAGCTGCCAGGATCCTGATTTCTTATGCTGTTGGTGATCTCCAAGTTGTTACCGCTTGAGATTTCTTGAAGCTAAATACCATAGGTTGAAAAAAGCTCCTTGGGTTTCCTTTCGTGCCATGCTGCATGTTTCCTTATGAAGACATTTTACTGTCTGCCTGCTTTTTCATCTCAGTATAGGAATGCAACCCTTTCCCAAGGCTACTTTAGTCTTCTTGCTATGCTGAGAAGAAACAATAATTTGTTTTGCCCTAGAAGGGCAAGAGCCTCATTTATTTCACTACATCATCTTAACAATATGGAGCTTTACCTGTGCTGCACTCTAATGCCTATTCTTCCATGTTTCCTTCCCTAGATGCCATGGGATACTGAATTCCACCCCCAAACATAGTAGTATATTATAACTGAAAATATCAAACACATGAGTGGAGAGGATTTGAATGGAGGGGGAAAGAGTTGAATGAAATAATTTCTATGTGGTCTCTAAATTATTTAATTTTTCTATTCATTGGTCAGGAATGGGGCAAAGTAGGAGGTGAGACTCTGAGGTTTAGGTTAACTGATGTCAGATTTCCATGGGGATATGGAAAGCTTAGACCAGTGTAACTTACTGGTAAATGGAGAGAAGAGAAACTTGAGAGGAGGGACAATTTTTTCCTACATTTTCCCCCACGTTTCTTCTATAGTGAATAGAAGAGCTCAGGATGAATCAAAGGAAAAACATAAATCCAAGTCAGTTTTCTATTTAACTGGTTAAATGTAAACAGATTATTTTACATAAAGTATATTAAATTAAGTGGCTCTCTAGGTTTAAATTTTTTTTGCCACAATATTTTTAAAAATAAACCTCACTTAATGCTTTTCCTCCTCAGTGAAGTATCTTAAAATCCACCCTCTTAAAGAGTGTCCACATATTCTTGATCAACAGCATTATATTTATATGTAATTTTAATTATTTTTATTTTTAAAAACTTTTTCAATTAAGTATTTTTGACAACTTTTCATCTCATGTATAGTACTTTATTTCATTTATACTAAGTATCTGGGATAGCATCAGTCACTTTTTAGGAAATACTGAGTTCCAAAGAAATGTCAGGCAAATAAATTTGTAATGCCTGATAGAATGTAAGATGAGTCAATATATTTCAAGCACACATGTTTTATAAATTAAAAGGCCATTTTCGTGGGACTTAGTTCTAATAGTAGAATAAGAATTTTGGGAAATAATTGTCTCCTAGTGGCACTAGCCTCCAAAATGCCTAATATATATTTAAATTCAATTTATAAATTTTTAAATTAATCAAACTGAAAATTTAAAAGTTGAAAGATTTAAGTTGTTTGGAATTTTTACCCACTTATTAAATATTTGGGGTTATAAACAAGGAATTATTTCTAAAATTTAGGTTGCGCTGAAATAGCAGATGAAGTTTACATGGAAGTCATTGTAGGGGAAGAGGAAGGAACTTCTCTCCCTGAGATTCAGCTTGAGGACTCTGATGTTAATAAAACAGTTGTCCCTGTTGTCTGGGCTGCGGCATATGGTAGGACACTGGCATTTTTTCACCTGATAAGTACATAACATATGTATTTAATCAGCCTTTAAGACATTAAATATGCTGTGCTAATGCCACCATGAGTTGGCTAATATAATAAAATGTTTTACTGTGGACTGATTCATCTCTAGTTACTTTACATGATTTTTTTTCTACCACATATCTTGTACAATTTAAAATGAGCCTTGCTTAATGCATTGCATTTTTCAGTTTGATCTATTTTAACTCCTACCTGTGGTAGTGCCATAAAAAATTTCATTTTTTCTAAAACAAGAGTATCCTTTGCAAATTGATCCTTCCCCTTTTGGACAAACTTATTTCATTCATTAACACTACAGATAATAAGATTTTGGGGTTTTGGAAAGAAACAGATATTCAGGTGTGCTCTTTTAGAAAGTATGTAATGAAAAAAAAATTACCAAGTTACTTTTATCTATTTTATTTCCTATCTAATGTACAAGATAGTCCAGGTATACTCTTTACTTTGAAAAATGTTGGTTTTCAAATGCATTAATTTATCTAAACTTGGATCTCCCAAAGGTTTATTCATTCAACAGTCATTTATTATCTTCAATCTTTGGGGTACTCAGCAGAAATATCTACCAGTTTGTATTTAAGAAGTAAAACTATTTTGGATGTTAACAATTCCAAGGATGCTAACAGCAGCCCTTATTTTCAGTGTGTAACAATATCTAATCTATAGGAGTGAAAGAACTCAACAAAAAACTTTTTAATCCAAGGAATGGTAGGCAAAGTAAGATTTTATAGGTTAAGATGTGATTCACTAGTAATCATTACAATTAGCATATCAGTTTTTAATTAGTCTTTTCTTTTTAGGAGATGATAGAAGAGTTTCCAGAAGGTATGAAGATTGTCAAGCACCAGGTGAGATAGCACTGTATGTGAGATATGAGTTAAAGATTTGACTTTGTATACTGCTTGGTAAATAAAGAGTTTGTGTCTACAGACATATTTGTCGAACTCTTACTTGCCTGGTCATATCTAATCTAGTTAGTTACATAGAAGTGGGCCTATTTGGGAAATTGGTTAATTTATAAAACGGACATAATGTGTTAATCTGTAAATGCAGTATATTTTAGATTTCTCTCAAGATGTAAGTATCATAGACCATAAAAGTTTGCTATGGAAAAAAATTATAAAATAGAAATTATTTGGACAGAAGAGTAAAAATTATTCATGATATCAACCACTTGTTTATGTCTTATTTGGGGTGGAACTATTTTCTTAATTTCTGTGGCAACCAGTAGATTTATATATAACTGTTATATAAAACCCGTGTGTCAGCTTAATATTTTTAGTTTTAATATACTCTTATATAATGTTACTCCCTAGTTGATCTATTTTTTATTAAGCAAGGAGACCTTTTCTTATGATAAAATGTCTGGTTTTTCTGTTTCTATCCTTGAGAAGTGTTTGACTCTCTAAACGTAGTTGTAGATTTCAGAGACATTGATGAGGGGCATAGATCACATCATGTAAGTTAATCTGACAGTTTTGTAGGCCTACCTTTTTATTTTAAATTGCATAACACCACAACAGATTTGTGAGAACTGGAATTTTATGAATTACTTTCTTCTGTACTGACCCCTCTGAAATTGCAGTAAATTGCCTGTCATATTTATTTTAACACACTAAAATCAATCTTAATACTGAATACTTTTTATATCAAGTATACTATTCTGAAGTATATATATAAGTGATCTGTTTTTTATGCATTACACAAAGTTGCCATGACTGTAATTGTTCACTGATATGTGTGTGTATAGTTCTTGCTAGATTCCTTTAATTTCATCAGCCTTCATTGGTGAAAAATTGCTCTGATGCCAGGATTTTGTGTAGGGTCATAAACTTCAGTTTCTTATGTTGCATTCATCTTATCAGCTTATTCTTTTAGGATGACTTAATTGAGATGATTTAAAGCTAATTTCACATGAATCCTATTCAAAGTGTTTCCATGTACATGTCTTTGTGAGAGAGAAAAAAAGAATGTCCTCATGAGTATACTTCGTGAAATTTACTGCCAACATGATAATTCATTGCCATGTCATCTGTAGTTATTCATCTAACAAAACCAAAAAAAGGTATAAATATAAATGTGTAGTTTAATGGTGGGTCAATTTTTTTCAAGGAAATACTTTGGATTCAACATTAGAAAACAGAAGTAGTACAGCAGCACAGTACCTTCAGATTTGTGATAGTATTAATACAAATAAAGTACTTAAACAAAAAGCCAAGAAGAGGAGAAGGGGAGAAACCAGGCAGTGGCAAACAGGTAAAATACTTTTCTATGAATATTATAATGATTTGAGATTTAGAAGTATTTTTTTGAGCCAAAGGAAAAAAACCTGATATTTACAGGGTAGTCCTCCCCATTTACCTGTTTGTATATGATATAGATAATTTTTTTACATTGTGTGACTAATACTTAATGAAACTATGTTTTCTCTTTATTAAAAAGACATTTTAAAGAGAATTTTCAGATTGGTTTAACAATAAAGGGTGCTAATTTCTGGTTTTCAAAGTATATGTTATATAACATTTTGACAGATGAATAGTCTATAGTAGAGTGCTGCTCACTACTTTTTAGTGAGCTACTTTGCTATAAATTGCTTTCAGTGTGCATTTTTATATTACAGGATTTTATTCAACTAGTATAGTTTTCACAGAGTAAATGCCAGTTAATTTTGGCACATTTGTTGTAAAATCCTTTAAAGCAGTCGGACCAAATGTCACAATTTCCTTTCTTTTTTTATCTAGCTGTTATAATAGGTCCTGATGGACAGCCCCTGACAGTGTACCCTTGCCATATTTGCACAAAAAAGTTTAAATCCAGGGGATTCTTAAAAAGACACATGAAGAATCATCCTGACCATTTGATGAGAAAAAAATACCAGTGTACAGATTGTGACTTTACAACTAATAAGAAAGTGAGTTTTCATAACCACTTAGAAAGCCATAAGCTTATAAACAAAGTTGATAAAACCCATGAATTTACAGAATACACACGAAGATACAGAGAGGCTAGTCCACTGAGTTCAAATAAACTTATCTTAAGAGACAAGGAGCCGAAGATGCATAAGTGCAAATACTGTGACTATGAAACTGCAGAACAAGGACTGTTGAACAGACATCTATTGGCTGTTCACAGTAAGAATTTTCCTCATGTTTGTGTTGAGTGTGGGAAGGGTTTTCGACATCCTTCTGAACTCAAGAAACATATGAGAACCCATACTGGTGAGAAGCCATATCAGTGTCAGTATTGTGTCTTCAGGTGTGCAGATCAGTCAAATCTGAAAACTCACATTAAGTCTAAGCATGGTAACAATTTGCCATATAAGTGTGAGCATTGTCCCCAAGCATTTGGTGATGAGAGGGAGCTTCAACGCCATCTGGATTTGTTTCAAGGACACAAGACACACCAGTGTCCTCATTGTGACCATAAGAGCACCAACTCAAGTGACCTTAAGCGGCACATCATATCTGTTCACACTAAGGATTTTCCTCACAAATGTGAGGTGTGCGATAAAGGTTTCCACCGTCCTTCTGAGCTCAAAAAACATAGTGATATCCATAAGGGTAGGAAGATTCATCAGTGTAGGCACTGTGACTTTAAAACATCAGATCCATTTATTCTTAGTGGCCATATCCTTTCAGTTCATACTAAGGATCAGTCATTGAAGTGTAAAAGGTGCAAGAGAGGATTCAGACAACAAAATGAGCTCAAAAAGCATATGAAGACCCATACTGGAAGGAAGATTTACCAATGTGAGTATTGTGAATACAGCACTACGGATGCATCTGGCTTTAAACGGCATGTGATATCAATACATACAAAAGACTATCCACACAGATGTGAATTCTGCAAGAAGGGGTTCCGAAGACCATCAGAAAAAAATCAGCATATTATGAGGCACCACAAGGAAGCTCTTATGTAATAAGATCAATATAAAGAAAAAAGCTAATTAGAAAATTTGATATGCTACTTGGGACAAAAATGTCACTGACTGTTTCATCTGGTTTCAAAGCTTGATACTAAATCATAACTTTACATTCTTTGTATTAAAGATTGTAAAATATTTGAATTGACAGGGGATCTCATAGCCCTTTGAAAATTACTTAAAGAATTTAAGAAGCACCATAGAATGGTCACAGAAAACTTCTGAAGTATCTATTTAATAGTATTATATGCATAATTAAACTATAGGGGGGAAAAGCAAAGACAAATGCTTTATTTGGCTGATTATACAAGAAACAGATGTTTCTGAAGAGAGAAAACATTGTTGAGGAGTTTAACAATGCTTTGTTATAGCAAGGAAGCCTCACTTTTATGCAGTTTTAGAAATGGGATGAGAAAGTAAAATGCAGTCATTCATCAGTCACTTAGTTATTGAGCCTTTTATATTGTACCTGGAAATTGAATTCCAGAAATGGCAAAAGTTTTGTGTATTCATTAAAGAAAATTCACTGGAAAACAGGTTAATTAAGTACTATTAATGAATTTTATCACAACTCATTCAGAGCTGCTAATATTTTATCACAAGATGATATTTAAAATATAGCATTCTGTGCTTAAGTGTGAGGCAAAGTCTAAGGATTAAAGTTCACTTTTTTCCTGATGTTCAAGTTAATTGTTGTTTAGTATGGCATATATGACAAAAATATATTTGAGTCAAATGTGGCTTTCTACAATGGATGCAACATTAGTGTTGCAAACAAAATCAGCACTGTATTTCTTAAGGATCTAAAGATTAAATTGAGAGAACACAGTTTTCTTAAATATTATAATGTTTAGAGGTGTTTTTTTAGGACAGTCTTAGCAAGTACGATTGTTCTAGTCTTACTTGCTCTAATGTTTAAAGGTGCAATTTTATGCCATTATTGAAATTTTTGATTTTTAAAATCTATATACCATATTATTAACATACATTTTCAATATGAGGCAGTATTTATGCAGTATTTAACAGAAAAATATGCTGCCAATAGTTTGGAGGTGGATATTCAGTTTACAGTGTATAAATTTAAAATATGCATCCCTTTAACAACGCTTTGTGTTAGCATGCTGCAAATCAAAATGGCGCTTAATATTAAAAGCTGGTTTAGGGAAATTTAATGAAAATCTTGTTCATAAATGTAATGCATATGATGTGTACTTTTAAGTTTTAGTTGCTTCATGTTTACATTCAGCTGTTCAACATAATTAAAATGTAATTTTGCTTCATGCTATATTGTGGCTTTGTGTTTCAAATAACGTTCACCTTTCTGTTTTGCACCAGATAAGGATCAGTTCCTTGAGAATAAACTTTTTATCTTTCTTAACTTCAGAATATTAAATTTGGAAAATCTACTAAAATCGTGTGTTATGTGGCTGTAAATGATGTACACGCTGTAAAATAAGATCGTCACTGTTATGTGGGATTATTATTTCTAAATGTTACTCATTGAAATGAGCCTACAATAAAAAGCATTTATTGCACTTCAAGGTTTTATGAGTTTATTTAATGTTGTGTTGTAATGTTCATTCTGTATTAAAAGACTTTTCACTTCAAATTTTTCTTAGGCCATTTGGTCCTTTCTTTAATGTCTAGTTGAATTTTGTGCATTCAAAACAACATGAGCTAAGATTATAAACAATTATGTTAACTATAGCATGCATATTCCTCAAGAATGTGTTATTTTGCAATAATGAGATACTATAAATAAAGGTCCTCATTTTAAGACCTGAGATTTAGTATTACATAGAAAACTAAAAGTTCTTAACCAGGTTAAATGACACAATCTTGAAAGATATAATACATCAAATTATATCCCCGATATATATTCAAAAGGAAAAATGTTGATTTAAGTATTTGGGAAATATTTTTGCAAATGAGCGTAAAATAACTTGTTATATTTAAACCAGTCAGCATTTAATATACTTTATGTACCTAGATGTATAGCACTATTAGTTGACACTCTTTTTCAGTTGGGTTATTAATTATTTAGTAATCATTAACAAAACAAGAAGAAATTTATTAACCTCGCATGTTAGACCAGTGTTACTCAAATTTAATGTCTATAGAGATCAGCTAAGGAACTTGTTAAAATGAATATTCTGATTCAATAGATGTAGGGTGGGGCCTACAATTATGCATTTATGCGTTTCTAATTTCTAATATATTAATTATACAATTATGTATTTCTAGCAGGCTTCCCTTGTGTTGTCGCCATACAAAAGAGTAAGTCAGAGAAACCTGTAAATGCAAATAACCTGAGATGGAACAAGCTTTGGTCGACAATGGTTAGCAGGGGGGACTAATAAGAGAGGAAACCTGAGAGAAGTTTGCAATAGGAAACCAATTTAAGGAGAGGAGTAATGTGATATGATTTACATTTTGAAGATCTCTCGAGGCTGTGAGAAATTTTGAGGAACTGAGGGAAAGAGCCATAAGAGGTTATTTCAATTGTTCATGGTTATAGTGGAGCTGGAGAAAAGCAGCTGAATTTTATTCTATTTGTCAATTGGGCCTAGAAAACCGTATCCCAGGTAGAACAGATGTGAATTTAGCCCATGTTACAAACAAGATTATCTATAAAAAAAAAAAATACAGATTTTACTGGTACACGACTCGTCTATGCCAAGACAGGGAATTACTGAAAAATCATTTTTCCAGAACAGTTCAGGGCCATTATGTACAGATTTATTTGTGTAATTGTCACTTCTAAGTGGCTTATGCCATGATGGGGAAGAAAGTATTTGGGAATTGTTATCTGGGCAGGGCCTTTAAATTCAACTACTCATGTCCCATACAGGACAACCACCAGTTTGAACCTTGAACTGCCCTTAAAGATTATGTGTGTATATTTGTGTATAATTATCTATCTATAATATAAATGTATATAACAGCTTTAATTGCAGAAAACTATAAACAAAAGTAGAATATAATGAACCTCTGTATAGCCATCACCCAGTTTCAACAATTATCACTTCATGGCCAATGTTGTTTCATTTATATTCTTTCTCACTCCTACCTTCATCTACTTGCACCTGATTGGCTTATTTTGATGTCTCCTTCCACAACTGGCTTAATTTGAAACACAATGAAAGGCATCATTGTAAGAATTTTTGAAAAGAGTTTTTGAAAGGAGATACAGTACAATTCTTTTTTTTTTTTTTTGAGTTGGAGTCTCACTCGGTTGCCTAGACTGGAGTGCAGTGGCCGCTCCCGGCCACCGCAGCCTCGACCTGCTGGGCTCCGGCGATCCTTCCGCCTCAGCCTTCCGAGTAGCCGGAATTACAGGCGTGCGCTACCACGCCCGGCTGATTTTTTTTTGATTTATTGTAGAGATGAGGTCTTGCTGCCCAGGCGGGTCTCGAACCCTCAGGCTCAGGCAATCCACTCACCTCAGCCTCCCAAAGGCGCGGGATTACAGGCTGTGCCACCAAGCCCGGCCAGTACAATTCTTAATATGTCTATATCCAGGGGGAAACTAATTACTCATCATCTATGAAGGCAGAAGAACAAAAGAATTCTCTTGTTCAGCTATTTCTACTCTGCCTTGTGGGAACTAAGGAAAATCTGGCTGTGTTTGGAATTCTGTCCAGTAAGATTTTTTGAACTAATAAGGCTTCATTTAGAGGAAATATAGGACTTGATTAGAAACCTAGACTATCATTGAATTGGAATATCTTTCCAATTTCCCTACTTTGTTCACTCCACATTATCTATCCAAAGGAATTAGCTTGCAAATGTGGAACTAGTTAAGAAAGATCTCTTAGAACCTTGGGTCCTAGATGAGACTGAATATTGTTATCAGCAATTTAAAGGCTCTGCAGAAGAAATTGATTAATTTGTAGGTTCAAGAGCATAACACTAGATACTCCAAACAAAAAATCTTGCTTGTTCCAGTTGTCATGCCTTTCTCTTTGAGTATTTCCCAAGTAACTCTGCTCCATTTTAAAATTTAGGCCAATTGACTATACTGACGTTATCCCATTTAACTTACAATGTAAGTCCCAGTCACCTCTCATCTGATTCCAAAAGTCCTGCCGTCCTAGATTCTAACACTACCCATCCTTCATACCATGGCTGGCTCATCAGACCTCTTTAGGGAACTACGTTATCCTATTTTAAGAAATTGGTCTGCTTTTTTGAATCTTGGCACATATAAATTAAGGGTATTCAACACTGATTGGGCTATCAAACCAACTATAGAATCAAAGCATGATATTGCAAAGCCTGCCCCTTAACAAGGTGGATATCTAGAAAATATACTCTAATAACAAATAATTATTTTAATGTAGTAGAATGTGAAACCAAACATAAAGACCAAGAATGTAACATCTCATTGGCTACAAGAGACCATGATTACCAAGACTGCCTAGCTATCATCTAGTTATGCAATATAACAATTCCAGTGTTACTTTGTAGACTAAAAAGAGGTTCATCTTATTCTGGACTAAATATTGTTAAAGGTTTTATTTTAGAAGACACAGTTGTTTATTACATTCTTCATTTACATGTTTTTTATTTATTATTTCATTTAGCCTCGGATGAGCATGAAATACTCTGTATTTTTTTAATTGAACAAAAAAGTACCATGAAAATCCAGTAAGTTTAGTATTGGTATGTGGTGGGAAAGCTATCCCTTCTCAGGAAGTCTTTTCACAGCATATTATTTACTTCCAAAGGAATTATTATTTTCAAAAGAAATATGTTATCTTTGTAGATGGTATGAGGATGACTGTTAAGGTGATCTAAACTGAGTAGTGAGGTGGAATTTTTTAAAAGCTTTTTGTTCTTGTTGTATTGTCTATGTTAAGAAAATGTAATATAGCTAAAGCACCATTACAAGGATGGGAAGAGTGTAACACCTTTGGGTTCCCTCCCACTGTGGGAGCTTTTGTGTCCTCTCAATAAATTCTGCTTTCAAAAAAAAAGAAAAAAAAAACAAGAATGGGAAGAATGCTTTATGGACTCACATTTGAAACAAGTGAATAATGGAACTTAGAAAACGTAGGTTTATAAGAAAAGAAATTATAATTTAAATCAGAAAACTGCATAAATTCTAGGTTGAGCAATTTTAAAAGTAGCCCACATCAGGAAGGTTTATTTTGTTTTGTTTCGTTTTTAATGAAAGTTGTACTTGTTAGTTCCAACATAAACATTCACATGTTAATAATTTCCTGACAAAAATATATAGCTAAGCTAAAATTATACCTGCACATTTCCCACTTGGATTTTTACGAAAACCATACATATACTTTAAATATTTTATTTATACATGTTAAACAGATTACTTTGCATGCCATTACATGGTCTCCATTTTATTTGACAAAAAAAATGAAAACATACTGGAATAGAAATTAGATAAATAAGCATTTCTCTTCTGACATCTTTTCAGTTTTCATAGAAAGTTGGGTGAAATTTGTGAGAAGAAAAGACATCACTATTACTATTGATCGTATTCACAAATTGGAAAAGAAACATTTAAGTGATCATCATTCAAATATCATTAATTTTGTATACAATTTTTCGTTATTATATAGATTATATTTTAAAATCTACATGAGGAAGCATACAAATTTCCCTGATTCAAATGATATAATTCATAAAATAACATTACACTAAAAGTTAAATATTATAAGATGAGGAAATATATTTCACCAAACTACTTATTCTTCAAAGAAACATTCTATGCAAAAAAAAAACTCTTGGATTTTTTTGAATGATTCCTTCCTTTTATTATAAACCTTATTTTTTCTTCAGATATCTAAATTAGACTCTTATTTTATGATCAGTTTTTTCTTCTCGGTCCATTTAATTGCGTATTTTTTCCCTATTATCCATGATTGTGTTGTATTACAACTTTTAAAATTAAGTATAATGAGGACCTTGTTATGACTCCAATTCACTATCCATGGATTAAGTGCTTAACTGCCACAAAATTTTGTACACTGTTATTTTTGAGTATTTTAACAAAATATCACACCTATTCTCATTTTCCGATAGTAATGATGGCCACTTTCTATTGAGCTAATAAAAACTTTCCATTATTTCATTTATAATGTGTGAATAACATAGTACACTTTTGTTACAGTTACATATATGAATAGTTAGCAGAGGAGAAATTGCTGTTGCTTCTACATCAAGGAAACAAATATAGGACTATATAACTTGTGAAGAATATTGACATTTTCTATCACAAAATTTTGATACATTTGGGATTTATGTTACAGAGTGCAACATTTTAGCTAAAGTATTATGATAATAAAAAATAGGCTTTTAGCTTTATATCCAGACCTATTTGAATATTTCTAAAAAATAATAGTAAGCATTTTTTCATTTATGGTTTGATTTAGTGTATTGACTCATCTGTTATCTTAACAGTATCTTAGTATAATGAATAAATATTAGAATATAATTATAAGATATGACAGTTTTATACAGATATTTGCAATGATATTTCAGTGTAAAACTTCGTTCACATATAACCCAAATATATTTGTTTGCCTTAATCTATACCTTGAGAAGGAATAATTCTTAACTTTATCCAGATGAGTTCAAATTAAGGAACTTTATTCTTATCTTGTAATATATTTTAAAAATACTTGTGTCTACTTCTGTTCACTTTGTAAGGTCGTTAGTGCCCAATTACTCAACCAACTGCTACATATATAAAATACTCTACTACAAAAAATTGCTTCCAAGTAGAATAAAGCTATCAAGTATTTGCTGTTGCTATTTTATTCTCCAAGCCTTTTTAGTTATATATATTTCAATGTTGTGTTTGCATACCACTATCAAAAAGTCTACCTTCCATCTACCCACTACCACCATATAGTGCTACAAGTTTTTTAGGAAACGGAGAGGGGAGTGCTCATTTGGGGAGGCTATGCTTTGAAAGCACAGACTTGCCATGGTACTAATATGTACTTAGAACCAGAATAGCATAGTGGATTTAGTTATTTAAAAGAAGTTATTATCCCATTTCCCTGCTAACTGAAATTAACCATCACCCTGGACTTAGTTATATCTCTGACAGATATAAATAGCATGTAATAACATATACTTTTTAGTCACAAAGCTTAATGTGAGAAAAGCAAATATAAGCTGTATATAGTATACATTAGTTAAACTATTTTTAAAAATTCAATAGTATTTTTTGTTAAAGAAAACATTATTTCATCTTGTAGCTGAACTGCATGCCTCTTATCAGAAAAAAATCTTCTAATGGCATACTTTGTAAAATCTCTGCCCCAACAAATTAGTTCAGTATCTAGGAAGCACTCTATCTGAAAAAATAATGGGCTATCTTCTATAGTGTCTGCAATCGAAGGTTAAGCAAGCAGGTCCTTCTTTCAGTTTGTGTTTTTATATTGAAGATATAAATGTTAAAGAAAGGATTCAAGTCTCATAAATGGCTGGGGAAACTGTCATCAGAATAACTAATTCATTTCATTAGATTTGTTGAGTAGTAGCCTGGTTCAAAATACTGATTGGCCCTTAGTGATGGAAAAATAACAAAGTACTAATGCAGACACACAAAAAAACACCTTTAAGTTGTAATACTTTAAAGTGGATTCATTCATGGCTAGAAAAGAAAAAAAAAAGGTTATCTTACAAATGGTTCATAATTAGTTTAAGACATTGTTACTATTGTATGCTCACAATTATGGAAAATTATTTAAATTGATACATATAAAAGCAATGGACACACATTGCACTTTTGTGGCACTTTTTAATATGTACATTCAATGAGACAATTATTTGCCTATCTGACTTTAGTCAAGATATGTTTCAAATGAGTTTAAGCAGGAGGGAGGGAGGATTGAGTAGATTTTCTCCCTAGTGTCATATTTAGAGGTTAAATACATTCAAACATCTTTGTTAATAAATATAGATCTGTTATCTGTGAAATTAAATATATTTTGAACTTGCTACTAGTTCTATAATTCATTCAAATGCCAATTCTGATGTTTTTTGCTGTACATTTTTTATGGAGAGAGAAGTAGTGGCTACTCATTATTTGGCAAGTCCTTATACTGTTGCCACCTCTGGGGCATATGTGGTTAGTAGTTGCAATTGCTTCTCAGTCTTAACTTTAAGCATCAAATTATCTCCAAGTGGACAAAATCTAAATGCTTTGCTGACTTGCTCTTGCTGCTCATTGGGTTCTTGGGTCATCAAGTACCCTTGGTGAGTTGATAATTTGCAATAAGTAATATTAAACTAATTAATGACCTAAGAAAAACAACATATTTCAAAATTTGTAATATGCAATTATTTTGATTTGGGGATTAATAAACATTGGTTGCTTCCACTGATGAAAACAACCATATTTACAAGATTGATGGCTTGATTGTAAAGAGCTTCCGAGCTAAACATTTTCTGAATTTTTTGTTTACTCAAATATTTGAGCTTGTTTGACCAAAACATTTTTAAGTTATTTAACAAATGCTGAATTTTATTAAGTATACATCTGAAGTGTAGTTTAAATATTTCTTCAAAATGTTCTGCAGAATACTTGATTGATATTTCCATAGTTATCTATTGCTCATCATGGTATACTTAAATATTTTAAGAATATTATTGAAGTATAGTAAATACCAAACATGTAGGAAAAGTGGACATATTATATACATTCTACTAAATGAATTTTCCCAAACTGAACATGTATATGCAACCATCACCCAGACAAAAAAAAGAACAGTATTAGTAACTCCCCCGAAGCCCTCTTTATGCTCCCTTGCAGTCAGTATACACTCCCCAAAGATAACCACATCTCAAATTTAATAAGCCTAGATTAATTTTACCTACTTTTATTACCTAAGCAGTTTGACAAGTGAAGAATTTTAACAACAACAACAAAAAAAAAACAAAAACACAGATTCTTTTCACAATGTTTTAGTCAGATTTTCTATTGTTTAAGAGCTGGGATTCTCAACCCTTCTTCTGTTCATTGCACCTGAAGGATATCACCCAATCCTGTGATCCCTATCAGTGGCTTACTATTAGAACTTCTTGCAGTAGTGTACTGTCAAAGAGCATTCTGTTCTATTAGCAGGGTTTCTCAACCTCAACACTATTAATATTTTGGGTTGAATAATTACTTGTTGTGGGGGACTACCCTGTAGATTGTAGTATGCTTAGCAGCATCCTTGACCTCTGCTTGTTAGATACCAATAATACCCACACACCTGGTTGTAAAAACCAAAAATGTCTCCAGACATTGCTAAATGTCCCCTAGCACAGAAAGTTACCTGCAGAGAGAAGTACTGTGCTAGGGAATATACACTCAACCTTCTTTACCCATGGATTTCACACCCATAGATTCAACAAACTATGGATTGAAAATATTTGAGAAAAAATAATGTATATTTACTAAACATGTACAGAATATTTTTTCTTGTATTACTCTCTAATCAACATAGTATGACAATTATTAACATAGCATTTGCATTGTATTAGGTTTTAACAGTAATCTAGAGATGGTTTAAAAGTATACAGGAGGATATGATAGGTGATATATAACTACTATACTATGTTATATAAAATCTGCAGATTTTGGTATCCGCAGGGGATCTTCGATCCAATTTCTTACACATACTAAAGGCCAATTGTATATCACTTGTTTGATGATTACTACTTTAAAGGTTAATAGGTTAATAAGTCAGAGTTTTAGGAAAGTAGCTTTCAGTCCTTTATAAGAAGAGAGTTTTTATAATCCGTCCCTTTTGCAATGGACTGGACCACTTAGAAAGATGCTAAGGTCCGTGTTATGTGATCATCTTGAAAGATGTTGTAGAAGGTAGAGTAGTTATTAGAGTACATGACTTGTTGGCAACCTCACTATAATTGTGGGATTTTTTTTTTTTTTTGAGTCAGTGTTGCACTTTGTTGCACAGACTGGAGTGCAATGACGCAATAATAACTCACCATAGCCTAAAACTCCTGGACTCAAGCAATCCTCTCTTCCCAGCTACCCAAATAGCTGGGAATACAGGCACATGCCACCATGCCTGGCTGTTTTTATTTTGTTTTATTTTTTATTATTTTATTTTTTGTAGAGACGAGGTCTCGCCATGTTGCCCAGGCTGATATTGAACTCCTGGACTCAAGCATTCCTTCCAGTTTGGCCTCCCAAAGTGCTGGGATTACAGGAGTGAGCCACCATAACCAACCAAACTGTGGAATTTAAAGCTAAAGGATTTTACAATTTAGTGAAAAAGACAGAGACATCTCTTTTCTTCTTTTAAAATCCTAAAAAGAATAAGTATTCAAGGCTGCAAGACAAATTTTATTAAAACATGCCCCTTTTCAAGTCCTCAACTTTCTTTTATAAATGTCTATTACATTTGCTACCTGCCTTAGAAAAAAGAGGATAAATTTGAGTGGAATTTTAAAAATAATTCCTGGGATATTCTAAGAAAGAAATAAAATTTGCATATTGCTAATGTTGACCTTCTTCCTCTTTGGGGTAAAAGCATCTCATTTATCTAATCAAAACAAAATTGGAGTAGTTATATTAATATCAGATGAAGTAGCTTTCAGAACAAGAAGCATTAGTACAGATTAAAAGGGTCATTTGATAATGGTAAAAGTGTCAATTCATCAAAAAGATGTAGAAATCCTAAATGTTTGCCACTGGAACATAATCACAAATGTTTATGTACCTCTTAGTAGAAATTCAAAATAGAGCCGGGTTTGGTGGCTCAGCCTGTAATCCTACGCCTTTGGGAGGCTGAGGTGAGTGGATTGCCTGAGCCCGCGGGTTCGAGACCCGCCTGGACAGCGAGACCTCATCTCTACAATAAATCAAAAAATCAGCTGGGCGTGGTAGTGCATGCCTGTAATTCTGGCTACTCAGAAGGCTGAGGCGGAAGGATCGCCGGAGCCCAGCCAGTCGAGGCTATGGTGGCCAGGAGCGGCCACTGCACACCAGTCTGGGCGACTGAGTGAGACTCCAAATCAAAAAAAAAAAAAAATCAATTATACTACTTCATATATGAATCTTTCCAAAGTTGCTTAATTCTCATTATATATCAGTAAAAGAAACAAAAAAAAGTCTTAAAAGAAAAAAAATACTCAGAATTTTGTTTGCTTGATCTTTTACCTTAATTTTAAAAGACAATTAAGCTATAGTCAAAATAGGGCTATAAATATTCGAGTGAACTTACACAAGTCCATTTGTCTTCTGTTTTCTCAATCACAATAGTCTGTGTGTCACTACCTGGTGGTATATATTCATAGTCATCATACAGGAGGCCTAGGATGGGATATTGTGTCCTGTACCTATACAGAAGAAAATAATTAGTTTACAGGATAAATGAGAAAACCATTCATTTCTAGTCACTCCTAGTTTGATTACCCTTATTAAGCCAATTTGGCTCTGAATGACTTTTAACTGTTCAATAGACAAAGATTTTTCTACATTATTTTCAATAGAATAAAGGAGAAGGACTTCTACTTCTGGCCGTGATGGCCCACTGGCAGCACAGGACTGTGATCAAAGGGAAGGGAACCAAATGTTAGGAGACCTACAAGTGCCTAGCTCACTACCTGGGGAGATTTTCTTGGTGAGAGAATAGGAAAAGGTAAGCCAAACATCCCAGCAGTCTCACCAGATGTGACAGAGTTTACAGTAAATATAGGCCAAGGCAGCCAGAATTTGTGGGGCAGATTTCCAGACAAAAGAGGGCTACATAGATGAAGAGAGGTCAAGAGACCTGTAGAGGCTTGCCCAAGGGTCTTTGGGTGAGTATCAATCAGTGTTTATAAGTAAAGAAGCTACTAAGACTGAGGAAAGAATCACTGAAAAGGAGCAGGCTGGCAATCTTTGGAGCTTACAGGGATAGTAATATTTTGTGTTCCAGTAGCCAGAGTGGAAAAAAGTCAGATAGATACCACAGAAGAGTATTAACTTAGTGGTGGAATAAAATTAGCCTAAACTACAGGTTGTTCTAACAGAGTTTAAAAGCAAAGCTTATATGTTTTAAACTGTTTCCATGTGACTTCATCTCAGAACAAAACTCCAAATATTTTATGTAACACCAGTAAACTAGAACTCAATACTATAAAATCACAATTTGTGGCATTTAATAAAAAAATTAGTAGTCATGCAGTGAAACAGGAAAATATGATGAGAAGTGAAGAGAAAAATAAATTAGTAGAACTAAACCGAGAATCAACACTGATTAAAAAAATAAATAGGCAAAGTTGCATCTATTGGAAACATATAACATATATAATGTATATTCAATAAGTTAGAGGAAAACATGAGCACAATGAGGATAGAAATGGAAGATATTTAAAAGATCTACATTCAACTTCTAAAGATACATTAGATGGGATTAACAACAGCTTAGGCACTGCAGAGCTTTTAAAAATAGTAAATTTGAAGATATCAAGAGAAATAATACAAAATAAAACATAAGAAAAATTGTATACAGCATAAGTTATCTGTGGAAAGTATCAGGTGCCCTTATGTATAATTAAAGTCCTGTCAGATAGGCAGAAGTCAAAAATTATTGAAGAAATAATGACCAAATTATTTCCAAATTTGATAAAAAGCTATAAACACATTTCCAAGGAGGTTAGCGAACCTCAGGAAAAAGAAACATGAAGAAAACTACAGAGACACATCATTATCAAATTGTTCAAACAATGGTAAAGAATCTTAAAAACCAGAGAAAAAAGAACATTACTTACAGAGCAAAAATTATTAATTGTCAGAAAACTTCCCAAACACAATGAAAGTCAGAAGACAGTGAAATCACACCTTTGAATGACTTAAAAAAGAAACCTATCAGCTTACTAGTCTACACACAGAAAAAAACAATTTTTGAATAATGAAGACAAGATAAAGTTTGTTTTGAAACTTTAAAAACCAAGAGAAGTCTTAAAAGATGTTTTTCAGGCAGAGGGAAAATGATACAAGATAGAAGTTTGGATCGAAGCAAAGGAATCAATAGCACATGAAAATATAAATAAGTGGGTAAATATAAAACATTGTTTTTCTTATTGTTAAAATTTCTTTAAAAGATAATTTACTGTTAAAATAAAAATAATGTATTTGAGAGCTTATAATACATGTAAAGGTAAGTATATATGACAAAAATAGCAGAAAATATAAAGAGGAAGTGGAAGTTTACTTTCATAAAGTTATCCTACATGTGATGGGGTATAATATTATTTGAAGGTGGAAAGTGATGAGTTAAAGAAGACTGCTATAAACCCCACATCAATCACTAAAAAATACTTAATAAGCCAATACAACAGGTAAAATTCAATAATAAAAAATAATCCAAAAGAAGAAAGGAAGAAAGGAAAAGGAAAACAAAGAAAATGTGGGACAAACAGAAAACAAATAGCAAGATGGTAAATTTAAACCAAACCATATAGATACATACAGTCTAAACATTCCATTTAAATGAGATACAAACTCAAGGTTCAACTATATATGTTATTTATAAAAACGAACCATAAAAACCACAGCACTTTACATATAAAAAACTTATAAAGTAAAGACAAAGGATGGAAACATGTTCCATGCCATGTCTAATCAAAACAAAATTGGAGTCGTTATATTAATATCAGATTTAGTAGCTTTCAGAACAAGAAGCATTAGTACATATTAAAAGGGTCATTTGATAATGGTAAAAGTGTCAATTCATCAAAAAGATGTAGAAATCCTAAATGTTTGCCACTGGAACATAATCACAAAAGTTTATGTACCTCTTAGTAGAAATTCAAAATAGAGCCGGGCTACGCCTTTGGGAGGCTGAGGTGAGTGGGTTGCCTGAGCCCACGGGTTCGAGACCCGCCTGGGCAGCGAGACCTCATCTCTATAATAAATCAAAAAATCAGCTGGGCGTGGTAGCGCATGCCTGTAATTCTGGCTACTCGGAAGGCTGAGGCGGAAGGATCACCAGAGCCCAGCCGGTCAAGGCTGTGGTGGCCAGGAGCGGTCACTGCACTCCAGTCTGGGCGACAGAGTGAGACTCCAAATTAAAAAAAAAAAAAAATCAAAATAGATGAAGCAAAAATTGATAGAACTGAAAGGAGAACTAAGCAAATCTACACTTGGAATTGGAGATTTTAGCATGCCTTTCAATATAATTCATATAAGAATTAGAAGAAATTAGTAAATATATAGATGTAAACAGCACTTTTAACCAAATTGACCTAAACTACATTTATAAAACACTCCACCTATTAAAAACAGAATATACATTCTGTTTTCAACAGCACATGGAACATTTAACAAGAGAGTCCATATTCTGGGCCACAAAATACATCTCAATAAATTTAAAATTGTTGAAATAATGTGAAATGTTCTCCAACCATGATGGAAAGAAATTAGACTTTTCAGCATCTTAGATGGATTTAGAGTCTATAACATTCGGTAATAATATATGAGTACTACATGTACTCACTCATAAACAGACCCTGAACATTTGTCATAATACTATAAGAAAGGGATTGGCATTAGTGAGACACTGCCAAGGGGGAGGCATATAACATCAATAAGGGTACCCAAACTTCATCTGCACAATGACCACTTATGTACCCAATCCTGAATTGCACCCCACATTTTAAAATAAAAATAGTAATTAAAAATAAAGAAAAGGGAAATTAAAGAATATGTTGAGCTGAATGCAAATGAAAACACAATTTATCAAAATTTTGGAATACAGCTAAAACAATGCTTAAGCAGAAATTCATAGAATTAAGATTTATATTTTAAAAAGAATAGTCTAAAATCAATGACCTAAATTGTCCAGATTTAGATACTAGAAAAGAGGGAGAAAAGCTAGAGAAAAATATTATTAAAAAATAAAGTGAAAAAATTAGTGAAATAGAAAAGAAGGAATCAGTAGAGGGAAATCAATTAAATTGAAGGCTGGTTCAATTTAGAATAACATTAAAATTGATATGGCTCTAGCCAGACTGATGAGTAAAGAAAGAGAAAGCATAAAATTTACCAGTATCAAGACAGAGAGAAGGGATATTACCACAGATTCTACAGTCTTTGAAAGTATAATAAAGGAATATAATGACAGGCATATGCTAAACAAACTTGACAACTTAGGTGAAATTCACAATTTTTTTAAGAGACAAATTACAAAAGCTCACTCAAGAAAAAATAGGTGATCTAAATAATTATAGGTCTGTTTTAAAAATTGAATTTGTAATTAGATACTTTGACACAAAGTTAACTCCAGCCTGGGATGGTTTCATTAGGTAACTCCACCAAAAATTTAACAGAGAAATAATACTAATTTTACAAAAACTCTTCTGGAAAATAGAATAGTAGGCCATACTTCTCAACTTATTCTATGAGATCAGCATTACTCTGATGACAAACAGCCATAGGCATTACTAGAAAATAAATATACAGACCAATATCCCTGGTGAACATAGATGTCAAATCCTTAACATTTTAACAAATTAAGAGTAACAGGAAACTCATTACAATCCAGCAGGATTTATTCCAGTAACAGGAGGTTTAATATTATAAAATCAATATGTTTCATCATTTTAACAGACCAAAAAATAAAAATTTGATTGGGCATAGGACTTCCAGAATAGAGCAGTAAGGAGTTTGACTGACTCCCCTCACAATAAATCAATAATTTGACTAGTAAAAATTATATATTTTTTAAAAAAGAATATCAATCAATTAAAGTCTCTGGAACTCATTTTAAGGAAAGACATCATAGAAAACATTCAAGAAAATCTACTAAACTTCATTAAGAACACTGAGAGTCTATGATATTTGAGCCATGGCTTTCTCTGTTAACCTCTTCCTTAGCTCCACGTTGCACAAGCTCCACTCTGGGACATACAGACAAGAAAACAGTGGCTCCCGCTACCTCCAGCTTTTTAACCAGGGACTATGGTTTTATTTCAGGATCAGAATGCTGCCTATGTTTCTCAGCCAACTGCCTCCTATGCCCTAGTCTCATGTTGTAGGCAAGAATGACTGAGAAGTTTGTGCTTTCTTCCTCTACCCTGTCCCCTGACTTGTAAGATGGGAATTCTGCTCCAGACATGGCAGGCTGAGAAAATTGGGTTCCTACTCCTTGGTCAGGGGTTCTAGAATGGAAAGAGCAAGCCAAAAGACCAAAGGCTGCCACATCCTCTCAACCAAAGGCGCACTGATGGAACAGGGGTGTCATACTGGAAAAAGCAATTGCCTGCTCCAGTTCTAGTGCAGTGGCATAGAGATTCTGCCCAAGGCAAATGGCAAGCTATAAGGACAAAATATTTGCAGCTCTGTGTGATGAAAC